GAAAATAGATTATCACAGAAAACGGAAATTTGTATCATAAAAAATGGAATATCGATCTTTCCGGGAAAGCTGGTTAGATCAACTATCACTGAAAATAATTATCATAGAAAACGAAAATTTTACCATAAAAATGGGAAATATCTACTTTCCGAAAAAGTTGGTTATCTACTTGCTGAAAAGTAGATAGATTTTCCAATTTTCGGAAAGTAGATTATCGACTTCGGAAAGTAGATTTTCGTATTTTCGGGGAAAATATTACCTAATTTTAAAGGATTATCATAGAAAACGGAAATTGAATTAAAAAATGGGAAACATCTACTCCGAAAGTTGGTTAGATAACCATTTTGCCGAAAATAGATTATCGCAGAAAACGGGAAATTTGTATCATAAAAAATGAAATATCTACTTTCCGCGAAAGTTTCTAGATAACCAACTTTCCGAAAATAGATTATCATAGAAAACGGAAATTTGTATCATAAAAAATGGGAAATATCGATTCTTCCGCGAAAGTTGGATAGATAACCAACTTTTCCGAAAATAGATTATCATAGAAAACGGGAAGCTGTATCATAAAAAATGAAATATCGATTCTCCCGGGAAAGTTGGTAGATAACCAACTTTTCCGAAAATAGATTATCATAGAAAACGAGAAATTTGTATCATAAAAATGGGAAATATCATACTTCCGGGAAAGTTATTATCTACTTCACGAAAAGATAGATTTTCCAATTCGAAAAAAGTAGATTATCGACTTCGGAAAGTAGATTTCGTATTTCATAGCACTACTCTAATTTTGGGAAGAGATTATCAAGAGAAAACGAAATTTATCATAAAAATGGGAAATATCTACTTTCCGGAAAGTTATTAGATAACCAAATTTGCCGAAAATAGATTATCATAGAAAACGGGAAATTTGTATCATAAAAAATGGGAAATATTCATCAAGAAAGTTTTAGATAACCAACTTTCCTGAAAATAGATTATCATAGAAAACGGAAATTTGTATCATAAAAATGGGAAATATCTACTTTCCGCGAAAGTTTTTAGATAACCAACTTTCCCGAAAATAGATTATCATAGAAACGAGAAATTTGTATCATAAAAATGGGCAATATCGATCGAAAGTTGTTAGATAACCAACTTTCCCGAAAAAGATTATCATAGAAAACGAGAAATTTGTATCATAAAATGGGAAATATCTACTTTCCGGGAGAGAGAGCACTACTTCCCAAAAAAGTAGATAGATTTTCTAATTTCGGAAAGTAGATTATCGACTTTGGGAAAGTAGATTTTCGTATTTTAGAAATATTACCTAATTTTAAAGTAAATTATCATAGAAAACGGGAAATTTGTATCATAAAAATGGGAAATATTCACTTTCCGGAAAGTTAAGTAGATAACCAATGCAAAATAGATTATCATTGAAAACAGGAAATTTGCATCATAAAAAATGGAAATATCTTCTTGAAAGTTTTTGATAACCAACTTTCCCGAAAATAGAAAACGGAAATTTGTATCATAAAAATGGAAATATCTACTTTCCGAAAGTTAGCGATAACCAAATTTGCGAAAATAGATTATCATAGAAAACGGAAAACGTATCATAAAAAATGGAAAATATCTACTTTCCATGAAAGTTTTCTTAGATAACCAACTTTCCGAAAATAGATTATTATAGAAAAGGAAATTTGTATCATAAAAATGGGAAATATCTACTTTCCGCTGAAAGTTTTAGATAACCAACTTTCCCGAAAATAGATTATCATAGAAAACGGGAAATTTGGTATCATAAAAATGGAAATATCGACTTCCGGAAAGTTGGTTATCTACTTCCCGAAAAGTAGATAGATTTCCAATTTCGGGTAAGTAGATTATCGACTTTTTGGGAAAGTAGATTTTCGTATTTTCAGAAATATCACCTAATTTTAAGCAGATTATCATAGAAACGGAAATTTGTATCATAAAAATGGGAAATATCTACTTTCCGGGAAAGTTGAGTTAGATAACCAAATTCTGTCGAAATAGATTATCATAGAAAACGAAATTTATATCATAAAATGGAAATATCTACTTTCCACGAAAGTTTTAGATAACCAACTTTCCCGCAAATAGATTTCTACAGAAAACAGGAAATTTGTATCATAAAAAATGGAAATATTTTCCGGAAATGGTTAGATAACCAACTTTCCCGAAAAATAGATTATCATAGAAAACGAGAAATTTGTATCATAAAAAATAAAATATCTACTTTCCGAAAGTTGGTTACTCTACTTCCCCGAAAAGAAATAGATTTTTAATTTTGAAAGAGATTATCGACTTTTAAAAGTAGAATTTCGTTTTTCGGGGAAAAATTACCAATTTTGGGAAGTAGATTTGCAGAATTGTATATAAACGGAAATATCTCTTTCCGGGAAAGTTGGTTAGATAACCAAATTCAGAAATAGATTATCATAAAAACGGAAATTTGTATCATAAAAATGGGAAATATCCACTTTCCGCAAGAAAGTTTTAGATAAACCAACTTTCCCGGAAAATAGATTATCATAGAAAACGGAAAATTTGTATCATAAAAAATGGGAATATCGACCTTC